GTGGGGATTGTAAATATAACCTGTATGCATCATAGTTCTTTCTGTTGGTATCATCTTGACTGTAGTACAACTGCTGATGCTATTGATAAAATGAAACAGACAAACAAAAGCACACCTCAATTTAGTTCAGTTTTTAAAAGAGTCATATGTAACAGATCTCCATGCCCAGATGCAGTGGTAAAGTATCCATTCAGGTGAGCATGGACTGCACAACATCATTTACAAAAGCATTTCAAAACTATGTCCTCATTAGCATCTTTTAGATCCAGAATTTTTAGTGGGTACAACTATGAGACCACAAAATTTTCAGTTTAAAATTAGATAACTGTACCTGCCATATGGCTATAAAAATTTCAGTGGAAATCATTTGTCTGTGAAGTCAAGTGACAAGAGCCTTGCTATCAAAATTTCTTTGTGTGACAACAGCATTATAGACATTGCCACTGAATAGGGAGTCTTCATAAGCATGTAGAATATGAATATATTTTCAGAAACTAAACAAAAACAGCTTATCAAGACTTCAAATGTAATCCAGATATAAAAGAGTAATTCAAAATAAACAGCATATCATGGGAGAACATTGGAAATATTTCTAATAGGTTTTTGGTTCTAACAATGGCAGGGATAAATACTATTATTTCTAAGTGATTGTCCATAATTCTACTTGCCACCTGTAAAATTTTAGTAATATATGAAAGCCAAGCATATCACAAGATAATTATACAGGTTATCAACCACCTCCCTGCCTCATCCCCTGGTTAATGCAGGGTTGAACCACTGAAGAACTCTAGAAAAACAACTGCAGCCTGTCCCAAATTAACTAAATGTTAACCATTTTTCTTCTGTAGTTTTCCCAGCCTAATTTTAGAGAACATTTTTGCTGTTTCCTCCTTTGAGAAACCATTGCTCTGCCCATCTGCTCAGAAAATTCCAAATGCATTAGAGAATCTTTCCTTGCTGTTACATTTATTCCTACTGCTTAAGTTAACCTCAGTAATTGCATTAATCTTTACAATGCCTGAAAATGTTTTATCTGTGATCATTCATTAACTGAGATCAGTTGATCAAACCTATCCTTTTAGGTTTCTTGCTTTCTCTGAAAGTTTCCTTTATTTGTCCCCTCGGATCCTTTGTATTTTTCTGTCAATTTTTCAACATATGTTCTGTGTAAAACTTTGATTGATGTTATGTTTGTATCTTTACACAAAGATGTATGATATCTTCCTGATGATTTTGTAAACACTGAACTATTTCTCTGAATATGGTTCTTTATGCAGACAAAACATTACCATTCACACAACAGGGAGGTGGTTTGCAGAAATATGAAAAATGTTTATGAGAAAAACCCTTGTGGGGGTAAGAAAAATACTTTATAAAGAAGATTGAGCATGCTCAGTGGAAACAATACGTTGATGGAATGTTTGGATGTGCGGATAGGAAATAAAACCTACACTACAAAAATGGATTAGCTTGCTGGCTGGAACTGAGAAAAGATGAACTTTACACTGCTACATGTTTTGTAGGTGCCATTTGTATATCATAATCACTTAATATGCCACAATTAGTATAGCTAGTTTTGCATGTATACTTCAGTAAACTTTCACCTGTTGTACAACTTCAATTATGCCCCAAATATTTTAAGGTTTGCACCCATTTATGTCTTCCTTCTGTAAGCATGAATGGAAAATGTATAAAGGGCAGGGGTGTTTACTTCCCTGCACCTTGTACACTGTCACAACTGTAAGTGATGTAAAGTCACTTCATGAATGGACAACCGCTGTTTTCCATCCAGAAAACAGGAGTTGTCTGAGTGGTTTTGCAGATGGTGGGAGGTCAAGGGACCCAAACTACTTATTTTTGTGGACATCTGGATGGGTTTTCACTATTTGTAGCTGAAAAAAATCAGCCAGCTTTTAAAAAATTTGGGAGTGGTTTAAGAGGCTTTGCGGCAAGGCTCTCAGGGGTTAAAAAAAGGCTGCAGAACAGGGGCTGAGGCCCACATTTTCTTCATTCCTGCTTGTAAGTATAATGTCAAGCATCTGAACAAATTCAAAAACAGGCACAAAGTAAAAGTTTCTCCAATAAAACTCACTTATTGTTTCTCCATTAGTTGATCATGCTGTGGCACTTCATCAACCTCTCCAGGTAAAGACACTTGGATTTTTTGCTTTACTTCAATCTTTGCTATGCTAATTGAAAATCTTGTGCTTTTGACATTCTGATTTTACTTCTATCCACTTGTACTTCTTTAAGGATTCATAATTAGTTGCTGCTATGTGGAAACAATTCTTTTGCATATCACTTTGAGGTAACTCCATGTCCTTGTTTAATTTATCTAGTACTTGTAATAATAATTTTTATTTATATCCCGCCCCTCTGCTAGGCAATCGGGGCAGCGTACAGCATTTCAAAACATCAAAACAAACATCAAAGCAGATAAATCAAATTTGAATCCCATCCCTCCTTCCTATTCCAGGCCCAATGGTGCTGGGCCTAGTGTCCTCTCCCCCAGATGACATTGCATGGAATGGAGGGAGGGCTCTTCTTCTTATTTCAGGCCTGATGGTGCTGGGCCTAGTGTCCTCTCCCCCAGATGACACTGGATGGAATCTTGATCTCAATATCTCAGAAACGGTTTGCTGAAATCATGCATTTTAAACAAGGTGGCAAAGTAAAAATGATGCTTCAGACCTTTGCTTAAAATCTAGACACCAAAACACAGTTTCGTGGTCTCTTAGCAGCGAAGATAGCTGGAGGAGAGCAGGACTGCAAGCATGTGACTCACAAACAATGATTTATATCACCGATTTAAATCATCAAGAGAAAGCTGTAATTTAAATAATTTGTCTAAATAAAGTTTTCTCTAATATGTCTTCATATATTTCTTGAACAGTGCAAATATGATCACTAAAATATGTTAATTTACTACTCAGTAGAACAGTTAATAACATCTTGGTGGGTATGGTGAAAATTTCCTCCTTGGCAAAATGTGAAGGTTCTTTTTGTGCTTTGTACCTACATTATCTATTATCTCTGTTTTAATACACTCCTCTTGCCTTGCTTGGCTTCTTAGCCCCACAGACATGAACAAAAGTCTCACTTAACCTGCAACTTTGTATCTTGTGTAACTTTAGGCAACTCAGAAACAGAAACTGAAACCCTTGAAAAGCAAGAACTAGGAATTATTGTTCAGTGCTCAACATACTACAGCCATTTTCATGAGATGAAGAACTTAAATGCATGTCCAAGTTTGACTTAATGTTGCGTGGCCAAGCCATTAATTCATTTTATGAGAGTATAATGATAGTTTAGCTAGCATGTGTGTGTATAAAGATTTAAATAGATAAATCCCAAACTTCAATTAAAACATTTTTTCCAGCCAACATCATCCTTTTTTATCCAGCTTGCTGACAAAGATGAGCAAAGCTCACCAGCTATATAAAGCAGCACAGCAAGTGTTTAACAGTTCTCCTGTTTGTGCTTTCTCAGACAAACAGTGAAAGACAACAGGGATAGTATATGTATTATCAGATAACACTGCTTAATAGATTACAAATTGTGCAGATGTGAAGGTAGAAGAGGCATGTTCTGAAACGGTGCATTAAAGCAGAAACAGAAGAACCTCCAACAAGCACAGGCAACCTCAATGTGCCTTAGGGCTGACTTCAGAGAAGTTCTTGAGGGCCATGTTCCATTGGTAGGTGGGCTCAAAGGCAAAAAGGGTGGGGCCAAAATGCCAACATATTTTATCTTAAAGCTATTACTGTTCATAAATAAGACTTAGGAGAGGCATTTCAGCCTTTCAGAATTTGGGGAAAAGTGCAAAAGCTGGAAACCATCAAATGATGGTGTCTGGCAGTCTCAGAAACCTCCTGAGAACTGGATTGGGACCTCTAAAGGGCTGAGTTCAACCACCCCGCTCTATGATTTCTAGGAAAAAGAAAAACAATACCACAAATGAAGAAGAATGTGTGTGTGTGTGTATGTGGTATATATTTATTCTGGACTCAGAAAAAACTAATGGCTGCACTGGCTGGAGGATTCTGGGAGTGGTCATCAACAAAACAAACTTTCCCAAGGTCTGTTGTGTATATGCGTGTGTGACACTATGCTTATGTGTTTGGAACCATGAATTACTAGGTTTATGGCACAGTAACTGCAATGCAATTATAGCTTTACTTAGGTGATTTGTGGAATGTGTATGGTATTGAACTTCAGAGGATTTGTAGTGTACACACAAACCCCCACTCCATCCACAACACCCTCTAAACATTTTCTCACACACTTCTAACTTTCATATGTTCAACCTGTGGAGAGATGCTAAGTATGTTCAAGAAAACATTCTTACAATCTTCTCCACAACCAGAAATCATGACAAGGTAGGTTTCTTGATTGTGGGGTGGCTTCTAACTTTATTCAGTTGACTGTGTTTAGCAGTCCACAGCAGACTTCTGATTGTATGAAGGCTGAGGATTTGTCATGAAGAGGCATGTTGGTCAGAATACCCTCCCCCCCATGCAGTTTGGATGCATGAAAGAGTCTTGTCATAGTCCATGTGTAACAGCAACCTAAAACGTCTGTGGTTAGAAAGTTACTTTAGGCAGAAGGTATTAATGAGTAAAAGAATGTTTAATAACGATTAGGTAAAATATAGCAGATGATTAGCACTGGCATTCTTTAAATTAAGGTTTCTGTTATTACCTGTAGACGCCTATTTTGGTCTCTTGCTGGTGATGAATAGGAGCTGATATAAACTGGTGAAGGTTTGTTGGACCCTATAAGAAAATGGCAGAAGGGTATTAAAACCATTATTTGACTTGTTGGATGCCTTCAAGTGGTTTCCAACATTGCGGCCCTAAGGGGACCCTATCACAGGGTTTTCTTGGTAAGATTTGGTCAGACAGGGTTTCCTGTTTGCCTCCCTCTAAGACTGAGAGAGTGTGACTTGCCTAAGGTCACCCAGTGGTTTTCTAACCCTGTCACCAACTGACCTATTTATCCTCTCTAGCAGGGATTTGAACCCTGGTCTCCAGAATTGTTGTCCAGTACTCAAACCACTACACCACCCTGGGTGATTTTCATAGTTCACTGAAAGAAAAAACGGAAGCATATTTAGTAACTCAACAAATGAATATAATATTGCTTTGAGGGGAAGAGGGCTAGAGAAGGAGATCAGGAAGCCTCATACTGCAGTCACAAGGAAAGTCAAAAGGTCTCTGGAAAGTCAGCTGGACATGTAGGCCCATGGGGTACAATGTGCCTCTTGTAATGGGACAGTGCATGATGGCTTTTAGAAATTATCCTTGTTGAGAGAAGGCAGAGTTTGGCCAGCATAGCAACAACCAAAAGGGAGACAGCTGGAGCTGGCCAATCAAATTGAAGGCTAGAGAGGATAAATAGATCAGTTGGTGACAGGGTTAGAGTCCAGAAGTGAGAGACTCAGTACATGTACAGAACTCTGAGAGAGTGAGTTGCTGTGGTGTAATATCCTATAAGATATAGGACCAGTACAGACTGGCACCCAAAGTCACCTTCCGAGCGGCTGGGGGGCATGGTGTGCACACGCTGCACTCCCCCATGACATCCTGAAGGCACCCGGAGTGGCTGCACATCACACGGCTTCTGGGTGTCTGGGAGGTGTGGCGGTTACATGCCACAAGCCCCCAACACACCAAGAAGCCACCAGGGAGCTGTGGATGAGCCGCTAAAGGTGGCCTTTCATGGATGTAAAAGGAAGGGTTTTTCAGCCAGCGTCACGGCAGATTGGGGCCGTGGTGTGTGGCTGCCATGGCCCCAATCCGTCTTCAAGTGGGGCAGCTCCACACCACCCTATCTGGACTGTTTGTACAGGCTCATAGCCTTGGTGACTGGTACAGAACTAAGTTTAGGAAAGTAACCTAATATAAGGACTGTGTGGGTCCTGGGTAAAAGTAACTATTGTTTTCTGGAGAGAGTGTTGTGAAATAAACTGTAACTGTAACAAAGTGAAATCAAGAAAGTAAGAGCAAAAAGAAGTAATAAGAGTAGATAAAACATCTCAACAAGTAAAACATTGTTCAAATCATCTTTCAAATAAAGTTTTATTATTGTTAACATAAAAGCTTGTCTGGAACTTGAATAACTAACCATGCTATGAACAATTAAACACATATTTTGGGTTATATACCCTAAGAAAGGTACAATAGGGAATAAGTTTCACATAAATTGGTGTAGGTGACAGTGTTACAGTTTAATAAAGAAAATATTTTGAAAAGTACAAGTGGTTGTGACAATCTTTCCTGCAATATGATCCTCTCTCAGCTTCCACTAGCCTTGTAGTCCCATCACTCCCCTCAGCCATGTGTGTGCCTTCAAATCATCTGTTGACTTATGGTGACCTCATGAATTTCATAGGGTTTTCTTAGGCAAGGAAAACTCATGAGATGGTTTTTTGAGTTCCTTCCTCTGAAAGATAGCTGTATAGAGTATAGTGGAAGTTGAGAGAGGATTGTATTGCCTGGAAGATAATTTTTTAAAACCATCATGCATAGTCCCACTACCATTTGAGGCACACTGTCCCTCAAGGCCCTACAAGTCCAGCTGACTGTCCAGAAACCTTTATGACTACAGTATGAGGGTTCCTGACCTCCAGCTCTAGCCCTTTTCTTCTCAAACAAAATATTAAATTTATCTGTTGAGTTACTAAATTATCAGATGTTTAATGATGCTGTGCTTATTGATAGAAGAAAGGTGAAAAGGGAAAGGCAGGAAACTCTTTTGCTAATATTAGCCACTGCTGAATTTGGATCCTAGCCTATGATACAATAAAAGTTTTTTGCCAGCATTTGCATGATAAACTTAAGGTTCTTGAAAAATAATACCCAATAATAATGCTATGAAAGCAATTTTAAATGGGGGGAGGCTCACTGGCATTTAGCAGTTATTGAGCCATGTTTTAATATGAATATTCATCCAATATGATCCAATTTGTTTGCTACATGCTGTTTTTTCTCATTAAAAGCACATAATATACAGATAAGACTTTAAGAAAGTATTTTACTTTTCTTTTTCTTTTTGTTTCATCTCACTGGTCCCTTACCAGTATAGATGTCTTTATGTGCAATCCCATCACCTTGGCTATTGTAATACTGCATAGAAGTTTGGGTCCTATCATATTCGGAACGAGGGTCTCTGATTCCTAATAGCGCCGGTGATGAAGATGTGCTGCCAACTAGGAAAAGAATGTACAGAGATGGAAGAAGAAAGGGGAGAAAAAGAGAGTTAGACAGAGAATCAGTGCCAGTCAAAAGTTTAGGAAAGGCAGAGGACTGTTTTGGAAAATTTCTAATAACTGACTTTTCTTGACCCCAAAAAGGACAATAAATGCATCTCTGTAAACATTTAGAAGGCATTTATGAAAGAACCTCATCTCCCCCCCCACAGTGTCTGAATATTTAGAGTTTGTGTGGCTCAGTGATTAACACACTGGAATAGGGTTGAGGAGACTCCAGGGTCAAATCCTCAACTCAGTCATGAAGCTCACTGGATAACTTTGGGTGAATCTTTATCTCTCAGATGACCCTACCTCACAAGGTATTGTGAACATAAAATGTGGAGAGAATTATCTTGACTTTGTCAGATATAAAATGAATTATTTTATCTTTGTTTTGGTTGCCTTTAATGTCTGAAGGATAATCTACACATGAGTCCTAGCCATGGGGTGTGCTACTAGACTGTAATGCTGGCATTTACTCTGAGAGCAAAGAGCCTATAAACTTTTAATCAGATACTCTGCCTCGTTATAGTGCTCATTATTTGTGATAGGCCTAATGGTGTTCATTTATGAAGAGTGGGTATGCACGGTGTGGATGCTGAAAGCCTAGACCACTCTTTTAAACCATATTATTGATACTGCTGATATTGTGCATAGACATCACTGCACATGGTAAAGGCTTCTAAACCCTGGCTTCCCTCACTGTTCATATAAATACAAGAATCTTTACTATACAGTGAGCCTGCCTTCTTCATTGGCTCAGGATTGTAGATTTAACTCACAGCAGACTATAAATAAATAGATAACCAACCCCCTATCCCCATCTCTTTGCCTGGCTGCTTGGCGGTAGTGTCTTCACCCAGTGGCGGCCTTCACCTTGTGCTGCAGCCATGTCGTTGGGGGAAGGTGCTGCAACTGGGCAGCGGTGTTGGAGTTGCCTTTGCTGCTGCCCAGGACTACTCAGCCAGGTTATGGAGGTAAGCAGGTAAATCTTTATACTGTATATAAAATGGTAAGTGTGCTCAAGTCTTCTTCTTCTTGTTGTTGATAACTGCCCTCAAGTTGATCTCAACCCATGGCGACCCTGTGGATGAGACATCTCCAAGATTCCCTTTCCTCCACTGCTCTGCTTAGGTCCTGTAAACTCGTACCTGTGATCTCCTTAATAGAATCCATCCATCTAGCATGTGACCTTTCTCTCTTTCTACTACCCTCCACTTTTCCTAGCATATTGTCTTTTCCAATGAGTCATGTCTTCTCATGATGTGAGCAAAATACAACAGCCTCAGCTTATTCATCTTGGCTTCCAGGGAGATTTCTGGCTTGATCTGCCCTAGGACCCATTTGTTTGTCTTCTTGGCCATACATGTTATCATCAGCAATCTTCTCCAGCACCACATCTCAAACGAGTTGATTTTCTTCCTTAACTGTCCTACTCTCACATCCATATGTGGTAATAGGGAATACAGTGGCTTGTATGACTGTAACTTTTGTGCTCAGTTGTAGTTGTATATCTTTACATTTTAGGATCTTTTCTAGTTCTTTCATAGCTACCTTCCCCATTCTTAATCTTCTTCTGATTTCCTGGCTGAAGTCCCATTCCTAACAATGTTTGATCCCAGGTATGAAAATTCTTTTACTATTTCTACTTCTTCATTATTTACTATTTCTACTTCTTCATTGAATTTGTGTAGATTCTCCATGGTCATTATTTTTTGTTTTCTTTATGTTCAACAGTAAGCCAGCCTTTGCAATTTCTTCCTTGTTCCCTACAGTATAGCTGGCCCTTTGTTTTCGCGGGGGATCTATTCCGGACCTCCCTCCGCGAAAACGGAGATGGGTATGCTTAACCTGGAGAAGAGACGGTTAAGAGGTGATATGATAGCCCTGTTTAAATATTTGAAGGGATGTCATATTGAGGAGGGAGCTAGCTTGTTTTCTGCTCCAGAGAATGGGACCCAGAACAACAGATGTAAGCTACAGAAAAAGAGATTCCACCTCAACATTAGGAGGAACTTGCTGACAGTGAGAGCTGTTTGACAATGGAACACTCTCTCTCGAAGTGTGGTGGCGTCTCCTTCTTTGGAGGTCTTTAAACAGAGGCTGGATGGCCATCTGTTGGGGATGCTTTGATTTTAAGTTCCTGCATGGCAGGAGGTTGGACTGGATGACCCTTGTGGTCTCTTCCAACTCTATGATTTGTCTGCTACCCTCAGAATTATCATACTGGCTGGCAGAGGCTCTTCAGTGTTTCAGACAAAAGAAGCCAGTGACTTAGCTTAGGATCTTCTGCCTGCAAACTGGGCTCCATCAATGAGCTGCAACCTCAAAAGCCTTCTTGTAATTCAGACTTTCTGAATTAATACTTGTTTAGGCTGTTTACAAGTGTTAAAGCAAGCACTCCAATTGGTTCACTGGTTCTCTCTATTGAATTCTGTCTCACAAAAATCAAGCAGGCAGGATGGCTTCAACCATTTACAAGCACAGTGTGTTAGAGTCGAAACTAGGAAGGTTTTCAAATGTTTGTACAATAGCTACTCAGAAAAATAACCCCCTAAATATTGTCATATATGAAGGAAAAGTTTTATTAACTGACCAGACTGGATGACAGGTGACATTTGCTGGTTCGTTGTAGACAAGGAGGGATGTGACTTGAATCTGTCACGCTCAAGTGTTGACACTGGGGTAATAAAATGATTTTGATTCCAACCGTCCTGTGGAAGAAGAAAAAGGAGGTCGCATAAAAAATGAATATGTTTCATTAGAAGAAAACAGCTTAGATATCGCTGTGGAACTGCATCCTGATGAATATTAATTTTT